TACCACTTGAGCCACAGCGCCACTTCTGGCTTTTTTCATATTGCTTATGTGGTGCTGGGGAATCGAACCCAGGGCCTCAGGCATGCAAGGCAAGCACTCTACCACTGAGCCACCTTCCCAGCCCCTGTCCATGAGACTCTTATCTCCAATAAACCACTAGAAAACTGGCTGTGGCTCAAGGAGTAGAGCGCTTGCCTTGAGCTGAAGAGCGTAGGGACAGTGCCCAAGCCCAGAGTTCAAGCCCCATGACTGACAAAAAAAAAAGAGAGAGAGAGAGAGAAAAAAAAGCTCTATTCTCTGGATTTTCCTCCTGAGAGCTCACAAGGCCTAATCACATGTTGTCTTTACTCAGATGCAAACTGGCTCAGTCTAATGGCTGGGGGGTGATGGTGAGCCACCGTTCCGGAGAGACTGAGGACACTTTCATTGCTGACCTTGTGGTGGGGCTCTGCACTGGACAGGTACTTGGGGCTTCCCTCTTAAGTATCTGACCCAGATTTCTTGGCATCCTCAGTGCTCTGGCTCTGGGTTGAATGCCATCACAGGCTGTTCTTTGGGTCCAGGCCTAACCCCGTCAGCCTGACCTCACCTCGGAATCCCTCTTTCTACCTCAGATTAAGACTGGTGCCCCCTGTCGTTCTGAGCGTCTGGCCAAATACAACCAACTCATGAGGTACAGCAGAGGGAGTGGCCTGGGCATTGGTGGCAGGAATGCAACTAGCAGGTGACAGTTCTGACTTGGTCTGTGTTCTAGGATTGAAGAGGCTCTTGGAGACAAGGCTATCTTTGCTGGACGAAAGTTCCGTAACCCACAAGCCAAATGAGAAGTTGGAGAACCCAGGACTCCTGTGTGCAGTCCTTCAAGCCCTTCTTGGAAATAAACACTGGTGCCAAACAAGACCACTGTGTGCTCTTTTTGTGGGAGGGACAGGCATGGGTCTGGGCCGGGCAAGACAAGAGATGGACAGGTGCAGGAAAGAAGGGAGGGAGAGAACAGATGAGTAACCTACAAAGAGGAAGTGAGGGAGGCCGAGAGGAAGCGAGGTAGATCTAGAACAGAGAAGTTCACATTTTAGGAGGAGGCTGTAGTCTGTGAGAGAAGCTGGAAAGGTGCTGATGGAGGAACCAGATCTAAAGGGGCAGGAGAGGACAGAACAGAGCTGAGGGTCTGGCCACCACCAGCCTCAGGAGAGCTGGAGCAGGCCTGCCACTGTGTTGAAATAAATGGCTCAAGTATACAGTGGAGAGTGAAGGCTGCTCAGTCAGGCTCAGAATGAGTGCACTCAGAGTGTTTAGAGCAGTGATAAGAGTAACTACAACTTCTCCAGAGCTTATGAGGCTCTGGAAGTGTTCTTTTTTGTTTTTAATTGTTGTTGGCTTTTTTTTTTCTTTTGCTGGTCCTGCGGCTTGAACTCAGGGCCTGGGCACTGTCTCTGAGCTTCTTTTGCTCAAGTTTAGCACTACCACTTGAGCCACAGTGCCACTTCCTGCTTTTTCTAAGTAGTTTATGGGAGTTCAGAGTCTCAGGACTTTTCTGCCTGGTCTGGCTTCAAACTGAGATCCTTAGATCTCAGCTTCCTGAGTAGCTAGGATTATAGCAATGAGCCACTAGCACCTGGTTTAGAAGTTATTTTTTTTTTGGGGGGGGGGTCCGGTCATGGGGCCTGAACTCTGGGTCTGGGCTCTGTCCCTCAGCTCTTCAGCTCAAGGCTAGTGCTCTACCACTTGAGCCACAGCACCACTTCCAGCTTTTCTTTTGCTTATATGGTGCTGAGGAATCGAACCCAGGGCCTTATGCATGCAAGGCAAGCACTCTACCATTGAGCCACCTTCCCAGCCCTAGAAGTATTCTTGATATTTGATATATATTGACCCATATAATCTTAGGAACAGTCTTGTCACAGTTACCTTTGTGTGTATGTGTGTACCTGTACTGGGGCTTGAACTCTAGCCCTAGGTACTATCCCTTGGCAGTAAGTTGGAGATAAGAGTCTCATTGACTTTTCTCCCTTGGCTGACTTTGAACCTCTGTCCTAAGTAGATAGGGCTATAGGGTTATAGGTGTGAGCCACCAGTGCCTGGTTCACTTATTATTTTTACAGGTAGACACTGAGGCACAAAGTTAGAAACACACACCTCCAACTTAATCAGCCAGAGGCTTGGTTCAGCAGTATTATGTCAGCCTCACAATCATAAGGTCCTGAGTTCAAACAAAAACAACAAGAAAAAAGACAAAACTCCCATGCAATATATATTTAAGCAGGGCCTGGTAGCTTACATCTGTAATCCAAGGTACTTGGAAGGCAGAAACAAGTTTTAGGCCAGCCTAGATATAAAAGTTTGAGATTCTGCTGGGTGCTGGTGGCTCACACCTGTAATCCTAACAACTCAGGAGGCTGGGATCTGAGGATCACGCTTCAAAGCCAGCCTGGTCAGGAAAAGCCATGAAACTCTTATCTCTAATTAACCACTAGAACACCGGAAGTGGTGCTGTGGTTCAAGCAGTAGAGCGCTTGAAGAGTGCAGGGACAGCACCCAAGCCTAGAGTTCAAGCCCCATGACCGACAAAAAGAAAAAAAGTTTGAGATTCCATCTTATTCAGTGACTGAGGTTATGTCAGTTCAGGGGAAGCACAATAGCTGGGTAAAATGGCACATGCTTGTCATCTCTAGTGACATGGAGAAGTAAAATAGTAGGATCACAGTCCACACTGGCCTTGTCATAACAATGAGAGATATTACTTGAAAATAACTAAGGTAAATTGGGTGCCAATGGCTCATGCCTATAATTTTAGCTACTCAGGAAGCTGAGATCTGAGGAACATGGTTTGAAGCCCAAGCAAGAAAGTCTGTGAGATTCTTATCTCTAATTAACCACAAAATGCCAAAATGGAGACGTGGCTCAAGTGGTAGAGTGCTAGCCTTGAGCAAAAAAACTCAGGGAGAGTGCCCAGGTACAGAGTTCATAACTGGAAAAACACTACAAAATCCCCAAGGCAAAAAAGGGCTAGAAGCATGACTCAAGTGGTAGAGCTCCTGCTTTGCAAGTGCAAGACCTGACTTTGAACCTCAGTGCAAAAACCATTATCCTGCCAGGTGCTGGTGGCTCACACTCATAAGCCTAGCTACTCATGAGGCTGAGATCTGAGGATTGAGGTTTAAAGCCAGCGTGGGCAGGAAAGTCCATGAGACTCTTATCTCCAATTAACCACCAGAAAACTGGAAGTGGTGCTGTGGCTCAAGTGGTAGAGCGCTTGCCTTGAGCTGAAGAGCTGAGGGACAGCACTCAGGCTCACAGTTCAATTCCCACGACCAAAAAACGACAAAAAATAATAATAATACGTTTTAGCCAGACATAGTAGTGCAATCCTAGCATTTAGGAGACAGAGGCAGAAGGATCAAGAGTTTGAGGCCAGCCTGAGCTACACAGTGAGACCATTTTAAAAAATTAAGTACTGGGGGTGGGGGGGGGTAGGCTGGGAAGGTGGCTCAGTGATAGAGCACTTGCCTTGCATGCATGAAGCCCTGGGTTTGATTCCTCAGCATCACATAAGCAGAAAAAAGCTATAAGTGGCGCTGTGGCTCAAGTTGGTAGAGCGCTAGCCTTGAGCTGAAGAGCTGAGGCATAGCCCCTAGCCCCAGAGTTCAGGCCCACAACCAGAAAAAAAAAAAAAAAAAAAAAAAGTGCTAGGGATGTAGCTCGGTGGTAAAGCACCTGCCTATCACACACAAGACTGGTTTCATTCATGAACCATCAGTACAACAAAAGAATATATCTCAAAAGTCCGACGACAGTGCCAATAACTGGCCATGTTTAGCTTACACAATCAGCAATTTTATACTGTTCAACCTAAAATTATTCTCTTTTTTTTTGGGTCCAGTCATGGGCCTGAACTCTGGGCCTGGGTGCTGTCCCTCAGCTCTTCAGCTCAAGGCTAGCGCTCTACCACTTGAACCACAGCGCCACTTCCGGCTTTTTTTCTTTTTGCTTATGTGGTGCTGAGGAATCAAACCCAGGGCCTCAGGCATGCAAGGCAAGCGCTCCACCGAGCCACCTTCCCAGCCCTCTAAAATTATTCTCTTCCCTGCCAGTGGCACTAAAACCTATTTTTCTATATACAAACCAGTACATTGAGTCAAACAGTGTTTATTGAATGTAAAGTAATCCCAGCCCCATGGGAAAATGTTCCAAGAAGAACAGAATAATACAGATTAAATACCCACCTTCACATTCACACTCTTCCACTCAAACACACACACACATCACATACACAGCGAAACAAATCAAACCCCTGTGTCCTCCAGCCTGAGTGCTGGCTGGCAGGAGGTGACTCAGAGGCGGGGCTCCAGGATGGGTCCTAATAGCAGCAGACTTGTCCTTTCCCATCCCCTATCCTGCTCCAGAGGCCAAGGGGAGCTGGGTTGGACGTCTAGGAGGAAGTTGGCAACTCTTCCCCACTCTGCCGCAGACGTTTCTTGGCTCGGATCTCATTCATGGCCTCTTCGATGGAGCGTGTGTCCCTCTTGTTCGCCACTGGCACTGCGGGGGGGGGGGGGACGACACAAAAGGGAGGGCAGGACCTCAGCTCCCCCTCCCCCATCCTATGCTCTCCTCCCCAAGCATCCCCCCAACTGGCGCTCCCCAACCCCTGCCATGGCTCACCACAACCATAGGTCTTGTTGGCCTGTAGCATGTGGGCTGCATCCTTGGCTGCTCCCTTGCCAATGAGATGGCTGTACTTGTCTTTGTAGTCACTGGCTGGGCTCACTTCCACAGGTCCCTGCAGAGCTGCCTCTTCCTCCTGCTGCTGGACCAGCTCCTAGGGTCACAGAAGTAGAGTATTGGTACCCAGGGGCCTGATCCTGACCAAGGTGATGGTAGTGGCTCCAGGGATTGCCAGGTAAAGCTCACCTTCAGCTTCCGCTTCTCCTCAGCCTTCTGGGGGTCCCATTCCTCCCCATGACGGTAGGAGTCCAACTCTTCATCGGAGGGTGCAAACTCCTGGGGAAGAAGTGAATCAGGGGCCCATTTAAATGTTTAATCTTGTTTTGTGTGTGCTATTACTGGGGCACGAATGCCTGGGCATTCTCCCTTAGCTTGTATGTATGTGCATGTGTATGTGTGAGTGCTGGTCTTGGGGCTTGAACTCAGAGCTGTTTGTGAGTTTTTTTTTTTTTTTTTTTTCTGGTCAGTCATGGAACTTGAACTTAGAACCTGGGTGCTGTCCCTGAGCTTTTCTGCTCCAGGCTAGCGCTCTTACCACTTTAAGCCTCAGCTCCACTTCCAGTTTTTTTGGTAGTTATTTGGAGGTAAGTCTAATGGACTTTCCTGTCCACACTAGCTTTGAACTGTCATCCTCAGCTCTCAGCCTCCTGAGTAGCTAGGCATGAACCACCAGCACCTGGTACCATGAGCTTTTTTGCTGACGACTAGCGTTTTACCATTTGGGCCACAGCTCCACTTCTAGCTTTGTGGTGGTTAACTGTAGGCCTGAGTACCAGACTTTCCTGCCAGGGCTGGCTTTGAACCATGATCCTCAGCTTCCTGTGAAGCTAGGATTACAGTGCCACCACTGCTCAGTTTTCACTTAGCTTTAACATTCAAGGTCCGCACTCTACCACTTTAAGCCACTCCTCCACTTCCAGCGTTTTGGTGGTTAACTGGAGATAAAGAGTTTCCTGGACTTTCCTGCCCAGGCTGGCTTTGAACCTTAATCCTTGGATCTGAGCTTTCAGATTAGCCTGGATTACAGGTGTGAGCCACTAGTGCCTGGCTAAGTGTTTAATCTTAACCATCTCCCATGGTGGAGGACAGACTGAAAAGGAAAGAGGAAAGTGAGGAACAGAGGCCTTTCACCTTTTTGAAGATCATGACATAGCGACAGTCATCGTCTTCCCCAAAGGAGAAGGATGTCAGGCCAGCAACTTCTACCACATCGTGTCTGGTAAGGAAGGTAGAAGAGAAAAAAAATGTATTGGGTTATAAAGGGGCCCCGTCTCTTCTTGTAAGGGCTTCTCCGAATGGCCCTTTCATCTCCCCAGCTGCCCACCTCTTGACTCCCCCAGCAAGAGACACTCACAGTATGCTCCTCTCTATCTTGTTCATAGGCTGAAACTTTTTCTTGATCTGCCCACTGTCTTGGATGAAATCTGACACCTCTTTCTCCATCTTGGAAGAAAGAAAGGAAAGAAGATGTGAGATGATGGTTCTGTACAATTATTCCTTTCCCCAACAGGACTAACAACCTGTCTATACCTCCCTACACTTTCTTCAGCTTCCATATCACTGGCTCTTAGGTCGTATCTCTCTTGAAATATTAAAGTTTTTTTTTTTGTTTGTTTTTTCTGTGCCAATATTAGGGCTTGAATACAAAGCCTGAGCACTGTCGTTCAGCTTTTTCACTCATGGCTGGTGTGCTACCACTTCAGCCACAGTTCTACTTCTGGCTTTTTAGTGGTTAATAGGAGGTAAGAGTCTACTAACTTTCCTGCCCTAGCTGGCTTTGAACCAGCTTGCTTGTGAGACTCAGATCTCAGCCTCCTGAGTAGCTAGGATTACAGATGTAAGCCACTGGCACTCAGCAATTAAGACATTTTCAATACAACTGAGTCTTCAACCTTCTAACTCTAACTTATTGGAAGTCCTTCTAGAAGCTGCCTTTGATCTCTCCCGTTGTTCTCACCCTTTTACGAAATTCCACTTTCTGTTGTTTGTCTTGTTCTTGTAGTTTCTTCAGGCGGGCAGCCTGCTCTGGGGGTGAGAAATGGCAGCATTAGGCCTGGACTAGAAGCATGTGAGAATAGTTTGTTAGGCTTCAAAGGAAACATGCTGTCCACCAGGAGGGATCAGGCTGTAAAGATAGAATTACTGTTTATTAGCTGGGCGCCTGTGGCTCACACCTGTAATCCTAGCAACTCAGGAGGCTGAGATGGGAGGATCACAGTTCAAAGCCATCTCAGGCAGGAAAGTCCATGAGACTCTTACCTCCAATAAACCACTCAGAAACTAGGAAGTGGCATTGATGCTCAAGTGGTAGAGAGCACTAGCCTCGAGCTGAAGAGCTGAGGGACAGCACCCAGGCCCAGAGTTCAAGCCCCCTACCCCCAACCCACCACCACCAAAAAATAATTACTGTTTATTTGTGAGGCATTTACTGATATTTATCACATGCCTGGTACTGGGGTAGGCCCTGAAGTACCAAGATGATCAAACATACTTTTACCCCTCATGAACTCAGTTTAAGAGTGACAAAGATCATAATTATGTATAACTCTACTTAGCAACCTCACTGGGAAACCAATTAATATTTACTTAATCCTCATAACAGATGAAGAACTATAAGGCACATGGGGCCATAAGGAGACTAAGCCTCTGGCCTGAGGATCATCATCTCCATCATTTCATTGTCTTCAGGGAAAGGAGAAACTATTTAGTTTCCTATATTTTGTAATACCCTCCACTTCCTACTTCTACAACCAGAATGAAGCTGAAAGAAATGTTTTATCTCATATCCTTCTACTTTTGGGGGTGTAGGTGTCCAACCCTAGCTGGAAATAAATTCTCCACCTTGGAATCTTTATTCAACTCTCCTCTTCCCCTTTCTCAGATCCTGCCTCCTTGACATCAGATCACCCTGCCCCTGGAAAAAGTAGAGTTTTGTCTTTTTGTTTTGGTGCATGGGATTGCTTTACCTCTTGCAAACCCTGACAGTCACCGTGTGTCAGAGTTACTTCTTCCTCTAGACCACAAGACTTCGGCTTAGCATATGCTAAGAACAAACATACTGTTAACTTTTTGTTTCTCTCCCCTATCTGGCTATGAGCTTCTGAAGGGCAGGAACCCTTGCTCATATCCAGTCTAGTTATCTTCCAGGGCCTCAGGAACTGACAGCCTAGAACCTTAGCATTTCCAATCTTGGCCAGAGATGATTTTCTAGTTAGTTTTCCAGTCTTCCTTGTGCCTGGTGAGGTGGCACAGGATGATGGCATAAGGTGGTTAAGAACATAGTGCTGAGTGGCTCACGCCTGTAATCCTAGCTACTCAGGAGGCTGAGATCTGAGGATCATGGTTCAAAGCCATCCCAGACAGGAAAGTCCATGAGACTCTTATCTCCAATAAACCACTCAGAAAACCGGAAGTGGTGCTGATGCTCAAGTGATAGAGTACTAGCCTTGAGCTGAAGAGCTGAGGGACAGCACCCAGGCCCAGAGTTCAAGCTCCACAACCAAGAAAAAAAAAAAAAAGAACACAGTGCTTAAAAGTCACACGTGGTGGAAATGGCGCTCAAGTGGTAGAGCGCTCACCTTGAGCTGAAGAGTGCAGGGACAGCGCCTAAGCCTAGCGTTCAAGCCCCACGTCCGACCAAAAAAAAAAAAAAGTCACACGTGGGTATGAAGCTGCCACTTACTAACCCTGTGAGACCGCACACAAGTGAGTGAACTGAACTTCCTAGTCAACTGCTTCTAGAGAGTCATTTGTACCCCCAAGTTAATTTCAACTTCCGGGTTACTGTAATTGTTCCCTCTTTCCTCAAGAGCTTTCAGATTCACTTCTCTGCCTATAATTTTTTGCTCCTCTTTCTCATTTACAGAATTATCTATTCTTCAGACCTCACTCACTGCAAATACATTTGGAGCACTTATTGTTATCAAACTTGTGTATTTCATCACTGAGGATCTCAGACTCAGGATGGTAGTCTCCTTCAGGGTGCCCCTTCCCCTAGCAAGCGTTCAGTAAATAAAGAGGTTATTTAGATAATCCAGCAACTCTTGACTACCTGCCTGCCCTGACTCCCTGTACAGGGTTTGTCTGCAGACACGGCAACAGGACTAGGATCTGGGTATCTCCACGGCAGGCATTCGGCTAGGCTTCTTCACTTGCCAAAGGAAACCTCCACCTCCCTGCCGGGTCGTATCCGACTCTGGCCGCCTTTCCCGAACCCGCCCGGTGGGAAGCCACTCAAAAAAGCACAGGCCGGGACCACAACCAATCAGCCCGGCAACATTCTCATCCCTCCAATAAACACCATGATCTGCTGAAGCAGCTTGGAAATTTAAGGCTAACATTGGGAAAAAGTACTGGTAGAGGCAGGCATAGGGACTGGGTCAAATCTAGAAGGGGCACAAAGACCCGGAAGGCTCAAGCTACTAAACGGAGACACAAGGGTGCTGGTCCAACACTTAGGAAGTGATGCTTTAAGTTAAGAGAGCCAATAGCGACCTCAGGTGAAAAGATTGTGGGTGGGCGTGTCCCGGACCTGAGCAAGCAGCGGTAGGCGGGGCCTGAGCACACCGTTCTCCAATGGGAAGGCGGGACAAGCGGAGACGGACGGGCCCGGCAGCTAATGGCAAACAAGGACTACGGAAGGCTGCGCTAGGAGAGAAGAGGCAGGAGGCCGGAGCAGGGCTTCCGGCAGCCAATCACTGCCCGCCGAGGACGGCGGCCGGGCGAGCCGGCAGCTCTATTAGGGACGCGGAGGGTCTCCGCAGGGGCCTGTGAGGGGTCTTTCACGGCTCTGGAGGCGGCATCGTCCGAAGGGGGGTGCAACTGCGGTCCCAAGAACCGAGTGAAGAAAGGTGGTCGAGGATTTGGGGTCCTCACCTCGGGCCTTGCGTCGAGTCTCCTGGTCCCCGAGGCTGGGTGGCTTCTCCATGGAGCTCAGGATGGAGCCCAGTAGGTCCGCCATCTTGGAAGTGACTGAGAAGGGGCGGTGCGTCTTAAAGGGGAGGGGCAATTGCCTTTAAGGCCGGAAACACGTCGGAGGCGGAAGACCACGCGCCGCCCTGCGCAGGCGGTGACCCCAGGCCGCGGTGGCGGGGCCCCCTTCCCCCCTCCCCGCCCCGCTCCCAGCAGACAGGAGCCGGAGGCTGGCTGGTACAGCGACGTTTAATGGCAATTCGTATAAACCAAGCCCATGCACATGTAGAAAGTGCTCGTGGAGCCGGCCGGGCCCCTGCCGCGCGACCCTCCCGCGGCGTCTTAAATAGATTCTTCACTATACTCTGTATGTTACAGTATGTACAGGCCCCTGCCCTCGGGCGCAGGGCGGACTCCGCCGGGCGTTCCCACGGGAACCCCGGCCGTTTGGCCCCGAGGGGGCGGCCGGAGTCGGACGGGGGAAGACCAGCCCAAGGAAGCAAACGGACGCAAACGTCCGGAGTCGGGGGGGGGGGGGGGGGCGGGTCAGCCTGACACTCGAGGGCGCGCCCGGCGCGGGCCGCGGTGGGGCCGAGGCGGATACATTCAGTGACGCTTCCAACAAATAAATAAGGCAAGTCAGGAAGGGCCGCGGCCGGGGGCGGGCGGGCAGGCAGGCAGGCAGGCAGGGCTCCGTGGGTCGCAGCGGAAGATGCAGGTCTGTGGGGCGTGGCTCTCGGGAGCCTGGGACCAAAAGAGGCGTGGCCAGGAGGGAGGGGTGGCGCCGCGCGGGGGTGGGGGCCAAGGGCGCCAACCAAAATGTAGGGGGAAAAGCTGCCGACAGGGGCTCCTCCTGCCTCTCCAGGTTACGACTGCCAGAGGTGCCCCCCCCAACCCCCCACCCCCGCCGGTGGCGAGGTCAGGTGGCCAGGCCTGGCTGGGGAAGCCCTTCCAGCTCCTGGTTCTGCTTCAATTCCCTCATCCTGCGGAGACAGGGGAAGGAGTCAGCGGAGGCTGGCAGGGGGTGGGCAGAGGCGGCGTGGAGGAGGGAACGAGTGACCTACCGGTGTCGGCAGCGCCTCAGGAATCTCATGATCTTCCTGGCTGCCTGGTCCTGCTTCTTAGTGAGAAAGGAGCCTCTGGTGGCAGAAAGAAGAGATAGGGATAGGTCCTAGAACCTAGGGCCTGCGTGTCCTCAGTCCCTTAGGAACCCAGTGGGGAGAGGGGCACGGTAAGCAGAGGGCTGCAGGGCTGGAGCCTCACTTGTTGCGGGCTGGCAGGGGGCCTGAAGGCCTGTGAGGGCCCGGCCGGCGGCGGTAGGAGCGGTAGTGCTGCTGGATGAGCACCGCGGCTCTCCGACTCTGTTGAAATCGCTTCTGTTCATAGTAGCTTCGGAATTTGCTCTGGATCAGTATGGCTGCTTGGGTCATCTTCTTATAGAGTGCAAACTGCAGGGAAGGGGAGAAGGGACAAGGGCTGAAATGGAAAGAGCCCTTAACCCTTGAGGGTCTTCCCCAAGTTAAGCTGATACAGATCTCTAACTCAGACACTTCTGGAAAAGCAGAATCATCACACCTCACACCCAGATCTCAAGGCTAATACCTTAAGTGCAATCCAGGTCAGCTTGTGGAGAGAGAAGGGAAGTTAGGGCTCAGAGCACCTGATTCTCTAGACTGGAGTGTATGTGTTGGTGGCAAGCTTCTGAGAGAAGGATCTTACCTGCTTGTACTTCCGGTAACAGCGTTGTATCACAGCTGCTGCTACCTCCTGCTGCTCCTTCAGCCTCCGCCCCTGAGGGAAGGGAAGAGGAGGTCTCAGCATTTTATTACACACCTAACAGACACTGAACCTGACTTCTTGCTCTCCTGGGGCTCCTTGACTGACTCCATCTGAGGCCTATCTGGTCACTGCTCTTCTCTAGAAGCCCCCTGGCCACCTGACCTTGTACTTCCGGAAAGCTGTCTGGATGACCCGGGCTGCCTCATACAGTTCCCGTTGCTCGTGATCTGAGAGTGTCAGCAGGGCAAAGTCACTTTCCATCTTGCCACTGGTAGATGCAGAGAGGAACTCTGCCCAGGAAGGTGCTGGAGGCATAGTCAGGCGACCTCGCTCAAAGGACAATTCACTGTGGAGGACAGGGAGATGGGAAGTCAAGGGGCATCTTTAGTCCCTCGTGTCCCACAGAGGTAGCTATGAAAGAAGACCTCCAGTAACAGTCTGGAAAGTGGCTTCACAGTTTACAAGCCAGGCCAAGCCCCTTCTCAAAAGCCCGGGGAACTCAGCCAGAATGAAGTGTTGGCTATAGGTTAGCCCGCTTCCTCCCTCCCTTCTTCCTTTGAAGATGAAATCTGGAGGCTTGGTCCTGAACTGGTCACCTGGGAGGGGCTGAGCTAGGGAAATGGTCCACATTCTCCAGGTAGCTGGCCAGCCAGGACATGGTCTCACTAAGGCCCACCGCGCCTGTTCGCTCCCGCATTGAGGTTCCAGCCTCAGGAAGCCCCACGAAGTCTTCTCGTTTAATCCGCTCTGGTGTGGCTTCAATGATCTGCTTGGCCAGTGAGATCATGTCCACCTGGATGGAAAGGGAAGCTGTGTAAGCCCTGCAAGGGCCTAACTGCCAAATGTTCCTGTCCTGAGCGGCGGCTCACTACCAAACAAGCCTCAGAAATCACACTCTAGCTCCTTCTTGGTTATGGTTCCAGATTCGTTCATTCTTGCTGGCTCCCTCTAGGGGATATAGCCCTCTGTACTATGATGTTGCAGAGAACATAGAATAAGGACAAGTTGGATCCAGCTTATAATCCTAGCTACTTGGGAGAATAGGAGGTCAGCTGAAGCAAAAAGTTCCTGAAACTCCCATCTCAACCAACAGAAAGCTGAATGTGAGCCAGGTGCCAGTAATTACACATGTAATCCTGGGAGGACTACACCTGGAGGAAGCTGAGATCTAGAGGATCAAGGTACAAAGCCTGAACAGAAAAGTTCATTAGATTTCCATCTCCAAAACCAATAAAGGGTAGAGATAGGCTAAGGAAAGATAGGGGAGAATGATGGGTGACATTGATCAAGACGCATTGTAGGGGCTGGGAAGGTGGCTCAGTGGTAGAGTGCTTGCCTTGCATGCATGAGGCCCTGGGTTCGATTCCTCAGCACCACATAAAAAGCTGGAAGTGGTACTGTGGCCCAAGTGGTAGAGCATTAGCTCTGAGCCGAAGAGCTGAAGGGTAGCACCCAGGCCCAGAGTTCAGGCCCCATGACTGACAAAAAAAAAAACAAAAATAAAAAAAACCACATTGTAGGGCTGGGAAGGTGGCTCAGTGGTAGAGTGCTTGCCTTGCATGCATGAGGCTCTGGGTTCGATTCCTCAGCACCACATAAACAGAAAACGCCTGAAGTGGCACTGTGGCTCAAGTGGTAGAGCTCTATCCTTGAGCTGAAGAGCTAAAGGACAGCGCCCAGGCCCAGAGTTCAGCCCCCATGACCGGCAAAAAAAAACCAAAACAAAAAACCCACATTGTATTCATAACCTGACTTCTGGAATTGAAACCTCTTTGTATAACTACTTAATAAAAAATGAATAGCTGAGCACTGGTGGCTCACACCTGTAATCCTAGCTACTCAGGAGGTTGAGATCTGAAGATCGGGCTTCAAAGGCAGCCCGAGACCGTGAGACTCTTATCTCCAATAAACCACTCAGAAAACTGGAAGTGGCTGTGGCTCAAGTGGTAGAGCGCTTGCCTTGAGCTGAAGAGTGCAGGGACAGCGCCCAAGCCCAGAGTTCAAGCCCCATGACCAACCAAAAAAAAAAGAAAAGAAAATAGGAGGCCAGCTTGGACATGGATGCAAGACCCTGTTGGGCTGGTAAACCCCTTTTATGCTTGCCTGATAAGCACAAGGCCTTGAGTTCAACCCAGTACTGCCAAAAAGAAAGATATAACCCATATGAGGATCCAAGAGCTGAGCAAACAGGCTTACTGTTATCACTGCCTCACCAAGGCCTGTCCCACAACAGCCAACCAGCACCTCTTCCCGACAAGTCTTATAAAGCCGGTCAATCTACTACCTTCAGCTCTCCAAGAACTAGCCCAAGGCCTGTTGACCACATGACACCCTGGCAAATGGCTCTGACCTTTGTTCTAGCCCCAAGGCCTCTAGCACTTCCTGCTGGCCACATTCCATGCAGCTTGCTTCCTGTTCTCTCTTTAATTTTTTAAATTTAGATTGCTTTCTAATTACTCATTGGCCTCTAAAGCTGATTATGTCTAGCACTTAGCTATTCATTCATTCTGTAAGACTTCTGGAGCTTTTGCCACATGCAAGCCTCCTTCTCACCTCAGATCATTGCCCACTATCTCCATCTTGTCAGCCCTGGTGCTTATATCCTTGCCCTCCATTCCCCTGGTTCCTCAATAACTTTTTCTCTGTGTGGATCAACAGGTAACTCCTATAACCTAGCTCTAAGTGAATATATTCCTCAGAATTCTTAACCTCTGCTGCCTCATGACTATCATGTCACCAGGTCTGAAAGAAGCTAAGCAAAGAGGTACCTTGCTTGTCCCCATGTGGTAAATGGGCCTTTTTCCCAAGCTGAAGCCACACTCTGATTCTGCTCATAGAGTATCTGCCTAACCTAACCTATCCTAATGACTGGCCCCCATGATTCTATCAGCAGAAGCAGTACCGGGATCACATCCACAGCTGATGGGCTGTCGGCATCCTCTGGAGCAGCCCCATCATCTGGGGCTGGCAGGAAGGCAGGAGGGGAAGGTGAGGACCCTTTGGGGTTGGTGGCCTCATAATCCATGAGTAGGGGGGTTTCTGGTGCACCAGAGGAGAGTGGGCCTGAGACCATCTCCTCCATAGTAACTTCAGAGGCTGGTGGAGGAGCAGTGGGAGGACTCCCATCTGGAGCACTAGAATAGGCTGATGTGATGGAGAAAGTGCCATCCGACAGCTCTGAGGGTGAAGAAACACTGCTGAGACCTGTGAGGCAAGGGAAGAGGGTGAGGCAGTAGGAGCAACAGGCCATCCTCAAGTCTTCTACCCTCATCCTTCATCTCAGTCTCCCTGGTTGTTCTTGCTCCTGTTATCTTCCTATCCCTACCTCCAGTTCCACTCCCTCTCCTGCCCATATCCCTCTCAGAAAAAAGATCAGAGCCAAGGCTGGGCTCTGGTGGCTCACACCTGTCATCCTAACTACTCAGGAGACTGAGATATGAGAATTGCAGTTCAAAGCCAGCCCAGACAGCAAAGTCCATAAGACTCTTACCTCCAATTAACCACAAGAAAACCAGAAGTGGCACTGTGGCTCAAGTGGTAGAGGGCTCGCTTTGAGCTGAAGGATATAGGGCCAGTGCCCAGACCCAGAGTTCAAGCCCCACAATCGATTAAAAACAACAACGAGATGTGAGCCAGCTCTCACCAGTGTCTGGGCTGGAGGAAGGTGGCGACAGGGCAAGGAGGGGCTCAACTGAAGCTTCCTGTCTCTGCAGTTCCTCAAGGCAGCGGGCAAGGCGCACATGCCCCCTCGAATGAGCCACAGACAGGGGTAGACGGCCCAGGGAGTCAGGAATCCTCAGCGCCTGTCGGTTCCAACGGAAGAGGAGCACAGCAGCTTCCAGGTGTCCCAAGGCACAAGCCCACATCTGAAGAGCAGGAGGTGAAACCTGACTTCCTTTTCCAGGTGCAAATCTCATACCTGGGCCCACACCACGATCTGCATCCTTCAAAGGACCTTCCCTTTGAAGAACAATTCCCCTCACCCTGCATGCCGTTAGGGACCTGATATCCTCACCAGAGGGGTGCAAGAGAAATGATCCACGTTGAGCGGGTCAACCTCTTGCTCTAAGTCCAAGCTTCCAGTCTCCACACTCCTAGTGGGTTTGAAAGAAGAACATGAGGGCTGGGAAGGTGGCTCAGTGATAGAGCACTTGCCTTGCATGCTCAAGACCCTGGGTTCGATTCCTCAGCACCATATAAGCAAAAAGAAAAAAAGCTGGAAGTGGTGCTGTGGCTCAAGTGGTAGAGCACTAGCCTTGAGCTGAAGAGCTGAGGGACAATGCCCAGGCCCAGAGTTCAGACCCCATGACCGGACCCCCTCCCCCCCAAAAAAGTAAAGGGACTGGGAAGCAAGCTGTTTAGAAGCACCAAGTAGGATGAAATAGCCAGAAATGAGTCCACTGAAGGGGACAGGGGACCAAGAATCTACATGTCTTAAGTCAGGGAATATTATGATTTCCCCAAATGCTTTGTTCTCTTCCACTCCCATCCCAGTCTCTTAGCACTAATGTCCCAACAACGGCCCAGCCCCACCCCCTCCATGTTGCCCAGGCTCACCGCCACTGGCTCAAGGTCTCGATGAGGCGGGCATAGCCCTGGGCAGCAGCCAGATGCAGAAGGCTCATGCCCCGGAAGGGGCTTCCATGAGTCAGACGTTCAGGACCCCTCCAGGTAGATCGTGGGATCATGCTCTCTACCAACACCACCACCCGTGCCTCGAACCCAGGACCCTGGCCTTCATCCTGCAGTATACACACGGATGTTCAGAGACATGGGCATCTGGTCTCCTAAGGTTGTTCTCTTGACTTCTAATTCTGCCACTTCATCACATTCTGCTCTAGGTTCCCATGGTTTACTGGTTCTCTTAGTTGAAGTTTCTGTGTGGCCTCTATCCCATAGTCTACTTATTCCAGCTGCTCTGGCTGCAGACCTTGTACAGCCTTGCCCACATTATCTCTTCACATCAGTTCAGATGGGTGCCGTGTACACATATGTTTTGTCCCCATCAGAAACATGTCTTCTCTATCCTTTCTCCCTATTTGTTGTTGTTGGTTTTGGTGGTGGGCGTGAACTCAGGGCCTAGGTGTTGTCCTTGAGCTTTTGTGCTCAAGGCTAGTGCTCTACCACTTTGACCCACAGCTCCACTTCCAGCTTTTTGGTGGTTGATTGGAGATCAGTCTCACTGACTTTCTTGACTTTGAACCATGATCCTCAGATCTCAGCCTCCTGAGTAGCTAGGATTATAAGCATGAGCCACCAGTACCCAGCTCCCCATCTCTATTTCTTCAGAGAAATGGAACCCACACAACTCTAAGCCCCAACTCTCCTGACCCCTCCCCCTCCTCTCCTTCACCTCCACCCTTCTTCAGACCAGAAATAGTCTGAAGCTTGTCATGCCAAGAGGGTGCCCAGAATAGCCACTCTTTCACAGGGTGGGGGTGGGAGCAGGGTGATGTCAGGGACAGGAAAGATGACTGGCTGAGGCGGCTGGGGACAGGCAAACAGTCATACACTAGAGTCATTTTTCTTTAGGTGTATGTCCCTGTTCCCCACCATAGACCACTGCCCTTCCCATGGAACTACCTGAATTAGAGGAGCCTCAGGACCCTGGCAAGGGGCCTGCCCAGCTGCTGCAATCTCTGCCATCCGCTTCTCCATCTGCTCCAGCCGCTCCAGGATGGACATCCGGAACTGGTTGTCTGCAGGGAATGGAGATGGGAGGCTAAATGGACAGGGTCTGGGGGATGGAAGGAATACTGCAATTGGGCTTTCCAAGATCTGGGGCAGAGGGGGATGTGAAGACAGCGAATCATTTTCTATTCTTTTTTCTACTCACTTTCTAAATAAATACCACCAGGGCTCAGTTCTGAAAACAGGGCTTTTAATCCTACCTATAGCTTAGACTCAGGATTCAGAACCAAAGCAATCTCCTTTAAGGCAGAGGTAACGGGAATGCCCCCAACAGCCATCCAGCCCTCAGCTACCCAAAATCACACAGGACAAACCCAGCCTCTTCCTAAGCAGAATGTTCCCTAAGTTCTTTCCCCAGACACTACCTTTGTCCCCCATGTTGGGGCTGAAAGGCTCAGGGTCCCTCCTCTTGGGTGAACTACCGTGCAAAAGGGCTCAGGGAGTGATTTGAAAAGCACCACCCCCTCCTCCCAGCCCCCCGCAGCTGTCCACAAAGAGGATGGTGGGGGAGGGAAGGTGGAAAGTCAGAGCCAAGGCCATTCCTCCTCCTCCTCCTTCCCCAACCCTATACACAAATATACACATAGTTATACATGCATACACACAAGCACACACACATAACCCAAGCTATTATTAGTCCCTCTCTGAGATCAAAAAAGGACAAAGAGGGGAGGGGACTAGAGCCTAGGGAAAATAAGCACTGAGAAGCAGGGTGAATGAAAGCTGGCATGTCCTGAGATGCCAGGAGAATAGAAGGATGAATGCAGAGAGGTGACAGCAGGGGAAAGAGGAATAAAGAATCACCAACAGAAACACAAGTACGACTGAGAGAAGAGAGCAGAGGAAAAAAATCAAGGTGAAGGCAAGGAGAGATGAGACAAAGAGCTAAAAAGAATACAAGCTAAGCCACTGGGTTCAAGAAGAGTGGGAAAGAGAAGACCTATAGGAGAAGTAAGGTGATGAAGTTATAGAACAGCACTGAGAAAGCTGACAAGGTCTTAAGTAGGCAGACCTGAATCACCACAGGCACCCAATACACACCCAAGGCTTTGTGAGAAGAGTGGATACAAAAATGAGGCAAGAGGGCTGGAAAGGTGGCTCAGTGGTAGTGTTTGCCTTGCATGCATGAGGCCCTGGGTTCGATTCCTCAGCACCACATAAGCAGAAAAAGCCGGAAGTGGCGCTGTAGCTCAAGTGGTAGAGCGCTAGCCTTGAGCTGAAGAGCTGAAGGACAGTGCCCAGGCTCAGAGTTCAGGCCCCACAACTGGCAAAAAAAAAAAAAAAGAGGCAAGAAAGCCAGGTGCCAGGGGCTCACCCTTGTAATCCTAGCTACTCAGGAGGCTGAGATCTGAGGATCGCGGTTCAAAGCCAGCCCAGGCAAGGAAAGTTGTGACTCTCATGTCCAATTAACCTCCAGAAAACTAGAAGTGGTGCTGTGGCTCAAGTGGTAGAGGGCTATCCTTGAATTGAAGAGCTCAGGGACAGTGTCCAGGCCCAGAGTTCAAGACCAACAACCAAAAATAGTGAGGCAAGAGGGGTTGGGAATGTGGCTCAGTGGTACAGTGCTTGCCTAGCATGCATGAAGCCGTGGATTCCATTCTTCAGTACCACAAAAACAGAAAAAGCCAGAATTGGCACTGTGGTTTAAGTGGTAGCGTGTTAGCCTTGAGCAAAAGAAGCTTAGGGACAGTGCCCAGGCCCTGAGTTCAAGCCCCAAGACTGGCCCTCCCCCGCAAAAAAAAATACTGAGGCAAGAAAGACCAGGGCCTTGCTGGATACTAGTGGTTCATGCCGGTAATCCTAGCTACTCAAGAGGATTAGAGCTGAGGATCCTGTTTTGAAGCCAGCCCACCAGCAAACTCTTTGAGCCTGTTATCTCTAATTAATCACTGGAAAACAGAAGGTGGAGCTATGGCTCAAAGTGGTAGTTTACTAGCCTTGAGCAAAAGAGCTCAGGGACAGTGCCCAGGCCCCAAGTTTAAGCCCCATGACAGGAGAAAGAAAGAAAGAAAAAAAAAAAGCCGGGCGCTGGTGGCTCACGCCTGTAATCCTAGCTACTCAGGAGGCTGAGATCTGAGGATTTCGGTTCAGAGCCAGCCCAGGCAGGAGAAACCGTGAGACTCCTATCTCCAATAAACCACCAGAAAACCGGAAGTGGCGCTGTAGCTCAAGTGGTAGAGCGCTCGCCTTAAGCTGAAGAGCTGAGGGACAGTGCCCAGGCCCAGAGTTCAAGCCCCACGACCGACAAAAAAAAAGCAGCAGAACTCAGGGACAGTGCCCAGGCCCCAAGTTAAGCCCCATGCCAGGAAAAGGAAAAAAAAAAGCAGCAGGGCAGATAATAAGTTCTCAAAGGCCCAAGAAAAAGAAGCAGAAAAAAATGAAGACAACAGTATTAGACTTTAACACACACACACCCTGTACACAAGAGTATATATGTGTTGCATCTGTGTTTTTGTATAAGAAAGAACACCAAGATATTAGTAATAGGTATCACTAAGCAGTCATATAAAAAAAAACATCCATTTTAACTGGGTGCCGGTGGCTCATGCCTGTAATCTTAGCTACCCAGGAGGCTGAGATCGGAGTGAGGATTGTGGCTCAAAGCTTGCCCAGACAAGGAAAGTCCATGAGACTCATGTCCAATTAACCACCAGAAAACCAGAATTGGTGCTGTGGTTCAAGTGGTAGGATGCTGCTCACCTTGAAGAGTGCAGGGACAGTGCCCAAGCCCAATGTTCAAACCCCATGACTGACCAAAAAAACAACAAAAAACCACATCAATTTTTTAGTTGAGGATGGGGGTACAGGCCTGTAGTCCCAGTACTTGGGAGGCTGAGGCATGAAAATCAGGAGTTTGAGGCCAGCCTGGGTGAGTCACTGTCTCAACAAATAATGCAAAATAAGTTATAAATTCCATTTCTTACAAGTGGGCTAGCAGCTCATACCTATAATCCTAGCTACTTAGGAGGCTGGGATCTGAGAATAGAAATTCAGAGCCAGACCAAGCAGATAAATTTGTGAGAATCTTATCTCCAAGTAATCAGCAAAAAGCTGGAACTGGAACTGGCAGAGTGCTAGCCTTGAGCAAAAAAAGCCCAGGAACACCACGTAGGCCTTGAGTTCAAACCCCAGGTCTAGAACAAAACAAAAACAAAAACAAAAAGAACTGAAAAGACCAATGAAATAGGGTGGTAATGAAGTAAGGGTGTGTCTTTCTCTCTCTAGGAACATGTTATACTCAAAAGTTGTGGGGCCTAACAAGGTCAGAGGGTTCTATACTCACCATCCAGTGACAACCAATCAAGCTGTGTACTTGGCAGAGACAGGAAGCGGCGGGCTCGATACTCGAAGAGCACAGAAGCAGAGAGGGGCCCTTCTCGCCCAGCCACCTGCAAAGATACCAGCCCTACTTCATGGGCTGGGGAGAGCAGGGTCAGCATGAAGGACTCTGCCTGGCTCCTTCTCTGGCCATCTGCGTCAGAGCCCATGATTGTTCTATTTCTTGCTCCCACTCCCATACTCCCAAGAGTCTCCTGGCTTCAGTAAGTGGCCTTTGTAGTGACTCAAAGGGGAGTCCATTTGTATCTACTATGGACCAAAGAACTCTTGGATTCTAGATTCTCAAGTATGTTGGTTATTCAGCAAAAATGTTTGGAAGCTAATGATCAAGGGTCACCTATTCTTATAAACAATTTGATGATGGCTAAACCCTTTAATCCATTAGACCAGAGTCAAACTCATGACCCTCTTACTGAAATGGAGAAAAGGGGCTCTGGTTGTTCCCCAGCCATGTCCAAGAAAAGCGGTCTAAGGCCTATTGGATGAAACCACCAGGCTTTGACCTACTTTTCTATTTTACTACCTTTTCCCAATCAGTTTCTCTAAACTCATTCCCTTTCCCTCCACATATAGCTGAATGGGGCTGTGGAGATGGGAAAGAATACAGTCATAGAAGGCGAAGCTGTCAACTTGTCACTCCCATGGTTCCTGCGGTTCCACAGGAAGGCTGACTGGTACGTGCAGGGCCAGGGGTAAGGATGGGGGCAGAGGAGCAGGAAGGTCAGTCTAGACCAGTGCTTTCCAGAACTCTGTAGTGCTGGAAATATTCTCTACCCAAATTATTACATAGGGAAGCACTAGACTGTATGGCTATGTACATGAGAAAATCAATTTTAAATTTAAATTTGAATTAAATAGGCACATGTGACTAACAGTTACTTTTCTAGACACATTTAAAAGCTAATGTTGGGGAGAGAAATGGAAGGGAAATCTCTGATCGAAAAGTACTGGACACATAAGATGGATATTTTAAACTGTAACCTGCTTGTACAACCTTTTCTTTTTTTTTTTTTGTCAGTTGAGGGGCTTGAACTCTGGGCCTGGGCGCTGTCCCTCAGCTCTTCAGCTCAAGGCTAGCGCTCTACCACTTGAGCCACAGCGCCACTTCCGTTGGAGTCCCACTGACTTTTCTGTCCAAGCTGGCTTTGAACTGAGATCCTCAGATCTCAGCCCCTGAGAAGCTAGGATTACAGATGTGAGCTACCGGCATCTAGCTTGTACGACCTTTTAAGTTCAAAAATTAAATAAAAAAATAAAGATTGGGCTGGGATTGTGGCTTAGTGGTAGAGTGCTTGCCTAGCATGCATGAAGCCCTGGGTTCTATTCCTCAGTGCCACATAAACAGAAAAAGCGGAAATTGGCACTGTGGCTCAAATGGTAGAACACTAGCCTTGAGCAAAAGCAGCTCAGGGACAGTGCCCAGGTGCTGAGTTTAAGCCCCAGGACTGGCAGATAAACATAACAATAAATAATAAAAGCTAATGTCTTTGGGTTTCAGGACTGGTCAGGGGAGAACAGTGCTTGTGCCTTCTCATTCTCTTTACACTGGAGTAGGAGACCCTGGTGCTATGCCAGAAATTAGATGGACACTGTCACATTATAGATTTCTTATGTCAAATGCCTGAATTTACCGGAGGGGAGACCAATCACACAAGAAAGGGACAGAATTATCTAAAACAACTGGTAGCTAGCAAGAAGATTTCTTGGGCCATATCCTAGATTTTCTGACACCTAAGGTCAGGCTCTTCTACCTTCTGGGGAGCGTGGTATATGACCTCAGTGCTAGCAGAAGTCTTGTGTTCCCAGAACCTGTCCTAACTATCCGTCTGTCAGTTTAAGCCCCTACCATGCCCAATACCATACCAGGACAGTAACAGCGTAAGACACCAGGCTGGACAAGCGAGGCTGGCACTGCGATGTGATCAAAGACACAGGAGTAATGTTCTGCAGCCTCCGTCCAAGGGCCTGTGATAAGCACCTTGACCCCACCCTGCAGACACAAGTGAAAGACACGTGACGCACACATTTACACAGATCCTTAGAGTATTATTATATGGCAGGTCCTGTGTAGAGTATGAGGGCCCAGAGATGGACAGGATCCAATTAGGTGGCCAATCTATCCCTCCTCTCAACCTTTCTGCCAAGTGGATAAACTATTTCTACCAGAATATTCTACCAGAAATGGGGAACTTAGGATCTCCGTAAAGGTAGCAGATAACTGTCATTAGAAGCAAGTTTTCTTGGGCTATTTCACCCCACCTCAGTTCTGCTCTGCCCTCTCAGGCAGCATAAAACACAACTTCTCCACTGCTGACCACAGACTTTCAACTGCTCAGAGTCTGCAGTCACATCTCCACGGTGTATTTTATTTTCCAGGCTGAACAGCCTCATTTCCCTCCCCCTCAATAGTCACCAAAGGACTGAGATCCCTGGGGTACTTGAAGCCATGCTAACACATGGAAGAGGGAGGAAGAAAGGGTCAGTGAGTAAGGACCATGAAAACAAAAGAGAAGCTATAGTCCAGATAAGGTGGAGCTTGAGAAGAGACCCAAGAGGCTGTGAAAAGGCCAGTAGTATGGCACAGTAGTAAAGCATTTGCCTAGTATGCCCAAGAGCCCTGGGTTTGACACCCCCCCCCATACTAGAAAAAACAAAAAAGATATAAAAACAAAGGGAGGGGCTGGGAAGGTGGCTCAGTGGTAGAGTGCTTGCCTTGCATGCATGAGGCCCTGGGTTCGATTCCTCAGCACCACATAAGCAGAAAAAGTCAGAAGTGGTACTGTGGCTCAAGTGGTAGAGCACTGGCCTTGAGCTCAAGAGCTGAGGGACAGTGCCCAGGCCCAGAATTCAGGCCTCATGACCAACAAAAAACCAAAACAAAACCAAAACAAAGGAAAACTAGGTCATAGACCGCAAGTTAAGAGTTAAGGTTCATTTTGTGGAATTGGAAAAGAGGGTGGGAGAAGATAAGCCTAGACTCACCTCTGGGTAGGACCACTCTGGAGAGAAGTCGGTGATGGTGCTAAGAGCGGGTGAGAGCTGGGGTGTTGAGGAAGGGATGCTTGAAGCTTCTTCACTGATGAGTTCTCCCATTAGGTCTGGGAATGACGAAAGACTAAAGGGCTCCAGCTCATTGGCTCCACCAGGTCCTCCAAACAAGGCCTCCCCTCTTACTACCCTGCCTGATGGCTCCAGAGGGGCAGGGGAGGATGGGGATGAAGGAGGGGGTGAAGGTACCGGTGGAGCAACTCCCTGGCTCTTGAGCTCCTCCCTACCATCATCATCTTGGATGAAGAAACAGTTTCCTCGTTTCCCACCTGCTCCTGCCTGTGGAGGGAGACCTCGAGTGGCTGCCTGGGGCTCTAGAGCAGCAGCGGGCTCTAGGGCAGGACAGGGGGTATGAGCAGCTTCTGCCTCAGGGAAATCTGGGCTTACTCCATGGCCCCCTCCATATGTCTGGCCCCTTTGAGGGCTGTTGAGAAAACGATCAGGGTCAAAGGCAGGGCTTGGAGGAGCTGGCGGGGCAGTGGGTTCAGAACCTACAACCACAGCCAAGCTCACAGAAGGCCTATTTTCAGCCTGGGGAGCCAAGTGTCTGGTGGGTGTCAGGCCCCTAGCACGCTGTTCCAGTCCCGTCAGGAGGAGGATGGCAGTACCTCCTCTAGAACCTTGAGAGGTAGGAGGGCTAGGTCTAATTTCTAAAGGCTCTGCGAAGCCTGAAGAAGAGGAGGAGGAGGAAGATGATGATGAAGATGGGGAGGTGTGTGCCTTGGGGAGCTCTGGAGGAAGCGGAGCTATCAGAGGAGGAGGCTCGGGTGGCTGGGAGTGGGGTACAGAGGTCAGGGTTAAAGCTCGGGGCTCCACTTTGGGAGAGATGATACGATGTTTCGTGCTGCTGCATTTGTGGGTAAGACTTCCAGAACCTGGAGTGAAGACAGGTGGGGAGGAGAGAAAGGGATAAGATACATCCTTCTCCTTCCTTCCCTTCCTAGATGCCCTTAGAAAGTACTTCCTGGGACTTCCCTTATAGAATAAAGATGTAATACTGATTGTGGCCACTTGGAGGAGTCAGAAATGAGTTTTCTCCCCCCCCCCCCCGCACTCCTCCCCCCCCTCTTCATCTCACCCTCTCTCCTCAAAATAAACAGGACTGGAGCAAATGCAGGGGAGGACTATAGACTTGAGAGAGTAGCTGAGAGCAGAAGGTAAAGGCATGGAAAAAGGCCAAAATCAGAACCAAGGTGGTACTAACTAGAAACAAAGCAAAGTCAGGGTGTGACTGGTAGGATGATGGCTAAAGGTAGCAGGCAAGAAGGGCATGGGCTGCCAAGACTATGCAGAACAAGGAGCTGAGGCCAGTGTTGCCCAGGTGGGACGGTCTCTGTTCACTTGGCCCATCTTCCTGGACATGCAAATGATTTTCAAATCAGCATGTAAATCCCATGGAGACATAGAACAGTGTGGCTAGGTGGGGAGAGAGCTCCAGTGTTGGGGGACACCCACCAAGGCCCCCACTGCAGAGACAGGCATGGGTTCTGGGTGCAGGCTTGGTCGGATGAGTGTCCAATATCTGCTGCACCAGCTGTTCCACAGAGAACTCCTCTGTCCCGTTCCCGCAGCTCCACTTGATGCCATGAACTACAGGAGATTTAGGTGAAATGCTGGGGGACCCCCAAAGTACCCAAGTCAGGGTCGTCCAAACCCCTGACTTGCTGACCAGAGGCCAGCGGCCTCAAGACTGTTTGGCCATGTAGCTCACAGCTGTCTTCATTCCACACCTGGGACTGCACAGGAAACCTAGCCCCCTGCAGGGATGCACCCTCTGTGTCTGGAGGGGAACAGTCACCCACAGGCTTCTGGACACAGAAGCAATGCTTTGGGAGACCCCATTCTCACTCTCCCTTGGAGCTCTATCTTCACCCTGCTTCTTACACATGGGCTTCAGCTGTCCCAACAGCTCCTCCCGGGACCACTTCAGCCATTCTCGCCGGTCGCTGCTGATGGAACAAAAGATGGGGCTGCAGCCCTTTCCACAGTCTTCAAGGGCTGGGACGTTCAGGTAGTGTACAAGGACGATATCAGGGTTCTGAGAGCACAAGGCACATACAGAAAACTATAGGTCTTGGGGTGCAGGGGCTCAGCTTCCTAATCTTTTTTTTCTAGGTACTCCCTAGCTTATGGTTCTCACCACCCCCACACCAAACCTCCCTCCTTATTTCTCAAAACCTACTTATCCTTCCTCTTTGTCCTTTCAGACCCCATATTCCTCAAAGGACCAGAACAATCTGGCTCCCTGAGTATTCCATTCTTACCTGGAGCAGCCAGTAGCAGCGCCGATGGAATGTGGGGACGATGGAAGAGTGAACGTAGCAGCCATAGAGACACTGCCAGGAGACAGGCTGGGGTGGGGGGAGGGCTAGTCTGCTCCCCAACTCTTCCTCTGTTCAGTCCCTTTGCAGGAATCCCAATCTTTCCACCAGTTCTTCTCCAACCCTCCCCCCCCATCCCAAATCTGCTTCCCACCCTTCTCAAGTTCCAGCAGCCACAGATGAGGGACAGAGGGAAGGGAAGAGTGGGGCTGGTGCCTCACAGCAAAGGCCAGATTTGAAATATGGGACTACCTGGAAATCTAAGGAAAGAGCAAGAATACATCTGAGTGTAGAAATGATTTGGGATGAGAAACCTGGCTCAGAGCATCACTCCTTAGATCCCTGAGAGAAATGCTATACAAGTGGGGGACTGAACCATAGGTGGGTCATGGAGGGAAATGGGAGAATGGACTAAGGGATCACTCAGCTAATCCAAAGTGAGTGGGCAGGGGAGGAGGACTGACAGGGGGCAATGAAAACAGATGACTGGATGCATGATGCTCTTACCTCCATGCCCTGGACCTTGAGCTTCATGTGGTCCTCTCGGGTGGTCTTGCCATCCTTCCGCTTCTTCCACAGGTAACCATCCTTTCGGTATTTCACTTTCTTGCGGTTGTAGAGGATGATGGATCCATTCTGAGGCCTGAGAAGGGAAAAGCCTGGTCTTGATTTCTATGTACGGAAGCCAGACCTCCCTGCTACTTCCTCACCTTGGGAGAACTTTCTCACCGTGTTTTTGGGGCACAGGACAGCCACTCATCATGCTTCTCAAAGGTGATCAGGTAGGATGCAATCTCCTGTAGGAGAGGAGGCACTCAGATGAGCGATTTTAATGGAGGGTCTCAACCTAGTCTCTAGATCACTGCCTTACAGTTTCATTGTGAAGAGTTGAGTTGTGGCAGCTAGTGGAGGGCACTTCCAGATAACTGGACCCAGGGAGGGCCAGGATTTTGCTATGTTGTCAAGACCATCCTTGAACTCTTGGTTCTCCTATCTCTCTGGGATTACAGGTATGTGCCACCATGCCTAGTCCCACTGCCCTCTTCAGAATCCTAGGTTTCATCTTTCCTTCTCTGTCTTTCATCTGAAACCTCTTAAGAGACAGGTTCTGAATTTCATCATTCTTTTTATTTTTACTGGTCCTGAGCTTGAACTCAGGGCCTGAGTGCTGCCCTTGGGCCTTTTCTCTCAATGCTAGTGCTCTACCACTTGAGCCAGTTCCACTTCCTGCCTTTTCTTTTTTCTTTTTGTCAGTGGTGGGCCTGGGCACTGTCCCTGAGTTCTTCAGCTCAAAGCGAGCTTGAGCCACAATGCCACTTCCGGTTTTCTGATTGTTAATTGGAGACTAGAGTCTCACAGACTTTTCTGCCCAGGCTGGCTTTGAACTGCGATCCTCAGACCTGAGCCTCCTAAGTAGCTAGGAGTACAGGCATGAGCCACCGGCAACCAGCCCTTCTTGCCTTTTCTGAGTAGTTTCTTGAAGAGTCTCATAGACATTTTGTGCTAGGGCTTTGTACCACAATCCTCAGTCTCAGCTTCCTGAGTAGCTAGGATTACAGGTGTGAGCCATCAGCCCCCAGCTTCATCATCCATTTTTCATATCACATATTATTTTGCTCTTTGTAGGTGTCAACATTTTTGTTCCTATCTGAGAAGAAACTCCAATTATTTGACACTACCAAGATTCCAGGTCCCAAGATTCTCCCAGCAAGGGAGCACACCACTATTTACCTATGTGTCACCCACATTCCTGCTGGATGGGCCCGCCAATTCCTCCCTGCACATGCCCTGCACAGTTGTCCCTTCCTGTTAGTGCTACACAAGCCTGAAATACCATGTACACACATCTCCAGTTATCCTATGAGATTCCTAGATCCTGTATGAAGCCTTGCTGCCAGCATGAATCTGACAGCAAGACAGCCCTTATGATCGCATGCATACACATTCCCTTTTACTAAGTTATATCAAACCAGTAGTTATCGACCACCAACTAAAAATGAAGCATTAATTATACAGAATACAGATATACAACAAAAGGACTGTGACCTCCTGAAGGAACCAGTATAGGTTGGTGGTGAAAAGCAGGGGCTGTGAACCACCTCTAATCTCAATACTTTGAAGACTGAGACAGGAGGATCTTGTATTCAATGTCAGCCTGGACTAAATACTGACACCCTATCTTAAGAAACAAAACAAAAATAACAGGTGCCCATTGCTTGTGGCTGTAATCCTAGTTACTCAGGAGGCTGAGATCTGAGGATCACTTTTTTTTTTTGGGGGGGTCAGTTAGTCCTGGGCCTTGAACTCTTGGCCTGGGTGCTGTCCCTGAGCTCTTCAATTAAGGTGGGTGCTCTACCACTTGAGCCACAGCGCCACTTCTGGTTTTCTGAGTGGTTTATTGGAGATATGAGTGTCACAGAATTTCCTGCCCGAGTTGGCTTTGAACCCTGATCCTCAGATCTCAGCCTCCTGAGTAGCTAGGATTATAGGTGTGAGCCTCCAGCACCCAGCTCTGAGGGATCACTTTTTAGCTCAGGCAGGACAATCAATGAGATGATTCCTTCTCCAATTACGCAGCAAAGATGTTGGACTGGAGGTGTGGCTCAAGTGGCAGAACTCCAGGCAGGAGTGGAAAAACGGAGAGCAAAGGAAGTCCTGAGTTCAAACCCTGGTATGACTGCCACCCCCGCCCCCCACCACAACCAACCAACAAAAAACCTAACAGGCAGTTGGGTGCTGGTGGCTCATGCCTGTAATCCTACCTACTCAGGAGGCTGAGATCTGAGGATCACAGCTCAAAGTCAGCCGGGCAGGAAAGTCTGTGAAACTCTTATCTCCAATAAACCACTAGAAAACCAGAAGTGGTGTTGTGGCTCAAGCAGTAGAGTGCTCGCCTTGAGCTGAAGAGCTGAGGGACAGTGCCCAGGCCCAGAATTCAATCCCCATGACCAACCCCCCCCCCAAAAAAAAAGAAAGAAAGAAAATACCTAGTTAATAAGCAGTAACTATTGTTTTTACCTGGGTGGGTTTGTTGGAAAGAAGTGAGAGCCTACAGGATCCCTGGTCTTTGTACTTTTTTTTTTTTTTTTTTTTGCCAGTCCTGGGGCTTGAACCTCTTTATGCTCAAGGCTAGCACTCTACCACTTAAGCCACAGCGCCACTCCTGTAGTTTTGTGTTTATATGGTATTGAGGAATTGAACCCAGGGCTTCATGCATACTAGGCAAGCACTTTACCATTAAGCCACATTTCTAGCCCCTCTTTGTACTTCTATAATCCCCAAAGAGCTTAGAGCAGTGCTCTGTGCTGAGATGTGTCCACAGACACAAAAACACCCTCCTCATCCTCTACTCCCCCACTAGGCCTTGCTGGGCCCACACTCCTCAATCTCCCTAGAAAACCTCATTTGTATTCCACCGTAGCCGTTCTGGAGGCAGCAATGGGCATCGAGGAAGACACTCCAGCAGCTTCTTCGGGAGGAAGATCTTCAGGTGGTGGCTGTTCTCTAGAGGGAACAGAGGCAGAGCTTAATGGCCCCTCTGGCATTGCTATGAGGCAGCCCAGGGGAAAAGGTCTGAAGGCCATCTAAGGCTCTAGGAAAAACTACAACCAGGAAGAGGGCAAGGGAGCCAGGAATCAGAGGGTCATCCAGTGTGGGGAGAACAAGTCTGTACCCAAACTGGAAACTTGGCTTATGAACTCACCAGCAACCTCGGTGGTGTCCTTGGTATTCATGGTGAGGACTCCAGGGGGCAAGGTCACCCCCGGCCTGAGGGGCCGAGGGGAGGGGGAGTCTGTGCTGGGAAGGGAGAGAATAAGGTCATGGCAGAAACCCCCACAATAAAGCAGTATGAGGAGCAGGAGGGAAAGGGTACATTACTGGATCTTGATATCTGGGAAAGATGAGTCAAAGAGTGGAAGGACTGGACAATGTGACAATAGAACTGGGAAATGGAGATGAGTGTCACCAGCTATAGTGACAAAAACCAACATGAGTAGGGTGAAAGGACGGAATGGAGTAGTCAGAAAGAATGGGGGGGGGAGGGGAGGGAGAAGATTTCAGCCAGGCTAGGACTAAGATGTGTCAGGATCCCAGGGCTGGAAATGGGGACATCAGGTCCTGTAGGATGGTTTGGCAAGCCTGCCTGGCTGCTGGGGGAGACAGGAGATCGAAGTCTGGGTGGCAAGCTAAGCCTGAGACACACCCTGAGTTCCTTCTGTTTGGTTTTTCCAAGGGGAAGGGCAGATCTGATAACTGACCTCACCTACTCTCTCTCCTTCAGGTTGGTCAAGGTCTGGTGGCATTTGGGTTAGGTCCCAGAACCCAGTTTCCCACCCTCAGGACAACCTGTCCTCTGCCAATGAACCCACAGCCCACTCCACCTCCAGCACCCCTCTCCCCACCCGCCTCTGCCTCCCTGGCCTCAGGCCTACCCTACCCCATCCACCGCTCTGTCTCCAGCCCGATCCCCCGCCCTTCTGGGGGAACAGATGGGAGCTGGAGGAGGCTCTGGGCGCCGGCGGCACCAGGTGTTCGGGGATGGAGAGGAGGAGGCCGGTCCCGGCTCGACCGTGTGCTGGGAAGCCCGGGCTGGGGTGAGGACTCCGCCCCGGGGCGCAGGTGCGCAGTCCCGGCTGGGCAGCCTGCCAAGGTGCGGAGCAGGAGCGGGACCCGGGCCGAGGGCCCG